CGGGAGGCAGAGGCAGGCAGATCTCTGTGAGTTCGAAGTCAGCCTGGTCTACAGAGCAAGTTCCAGCTGAGGTCACACAGAGAAATCCTGTCTTGAAAAACAATAAACAAAACAAAACAACAACAACAAAAAGAAATGTAGGAGAAAGACCCAAATCAATGCCCAGAGGTAGCTGTTAACACACAAGGAAAGTCAAGACACCTGCTTCTTCGACATGTGTCTACATTAAGTTCAACACAATCAATCATGAGAACCAGCAAGAGCCCCAGACACCCTTCAGAAGACTGGGGCCTTGTCTTCTGAGTGCTCAGCCTTAGCCTAGGGGGCCAGTTCAGGCCAGCGGGCTCCAGCAGCACAGCTGGACCCTGAGACCAAGGGATAGCACAAGGCTGCACCCAGGGGACACTGCGGCACACTGACAAGGAGCTCTTCACATCTGTCTCCACCTGTCATTCTTGGAGCCTTCTTGTGTGGCTGCACTCACTTGAGCCTCCCAAACGACATGTCACTCCAGGTCAGCCCAGGAGAGGGCCCAGAGTCTTCTGGCTTCAGTCCTAGGCTCTTTCCAAAGTGGACCCCAAACCAGGGGTCCCTAGCATCTGCATGGGTAATAACTTCCCACTGGAATTTGGAAGAGGAAGGGGAAGAAGAGGGAAGGGAGAGGGAGAGAAGACACAGAGAGAGGGGCTGTCTGAAACCTAGTCCTCAGTGGCCAGTGGAGTTGGAGAACAATCAGACACTGTCTCTCTACTCCCTGCCCCCAGGCTGCCATGGCTTTCATCACTGACCTAACCCACAGAGCAGATTTCTAGGGGTGCAGGGGGCAGGGGCAAGTCAGAGGTCAGCCTTTGCATGCTGATCTGGGCCAGTGGCTGGAGGGACTTGGGTCCCCTCTGAGGCATATATCCCACTGCTGACCTAGTCAGCTGACTGAAGGCAATGGCTGAGAAGAAAGGGTTGCCAAAGTGGTGGGATCAGCACAGTCACTCATTTATCCAAACAGACCTGTGTCGAATGCTGGCCATGTGATTGCCACCTTGTTAGGAGTTGGGGATAGAGGGTGATGTGATTAGGCTAGGCTCTAGGCTCTGGGAGCTTACAATATGAGAGCTGGTCAGTAAGCAAATATATACATACAACACACAGTGACTCTGCTGGCATCTTGCATTTATCTCCTGTCACCCTCCAAAAGGTATTGGTATACACTTGCCACAGGGATTCTCTGCTGGGGTCTCTGCCAGCTACCTCCTCACTAATTCTCTCCAGAGACAGAATGAATTGAGCCAGTCATCTATTCCACCACATTCATCTTGGAATTAGCCAATTCCCTCCCATTTTGCCCACCATTCCCACTTGGTCCTAAGAGCTTGTTAACAGCAGGCTCCACTTGCCCCCTTCACTGTATGTCCTCTTGGCTGGACTTGGCAAGTGCTCAATAAATATTTATAAAATGAACTTAGGAGCCGGGCGTTGGTGGCGCAGGCCTTTAATCCCAGCACTCGGGAGGCAGAGGCAGGCGGATCTCTGTGAGTTCGAGACCAGCCTGGTCTACAAGACCAGGGCAACCCCCAAAAGCCACAGAGAAACCCTGTCTCAAAAAACCAAAAAATAAAAAATAAAATAAAATAAAATGAACTTAGGAATGAGTGAATGGGTCAGACCCATCCCTGACTTCTTGACCCTCACAGTGACCTTCAATGCCATGGACAAGTCAAAGAGCGAGGATCGTATGCGTGTGCTGAGTCACAGCAGCTGAGGAGTGGAGAGTCAGGCACAGCCTGGCATTCAAATGACCAGCCTTACCCATTGTCCACACACCGTAGACTCTCAGGCTCTGCAGTCAGTCCTGAGTCAGCAGGCTCTGACCCGGGTGATGGCTATTTTGGCACTCTTAGGCAGCACTGAAATTAGCCACCAGGGGGAGCACTACCCCAGGAAAAGGATGCGTGGCAGTAGGTGGCTCTGGGGAATGAATCTGATGCAGGGAACCACAGAGGTGCAATCTTGGTGGACCCAGAGGCTGCAACTTGGACATGGTTGCAAGCTTTAAGTGGCATGACTAAGATAAAAGAGAGGTCAGGGTCTGCTTGGAGAGAATGGAGAACAGGGGGCTTGTGCAAGCAGGAATGAATTGAAAGGCAGAGTCGGAGCTTGACAAGGAACCTGAAATGAGTGGTTATCTTCATTCTGTTTTAAACCCCAGGAGCCCTGCTCCTCTCGATGAAAGGCCTAGAAGTCTCTATGAGGTCTCTGCTGAATACTCCACATGTGAAGCTTGCCGGTGATCCCATGAGACATGCGTGGTAGCCTTGTTCTCCAGTCACCATTCCCAGCTGTCTATCTCACCTGGCACACAGATTCTCTGAGGTCAGACACTGTATCCTCACAGCCTGCCTCTAGAAGCCTTTACCTTCCTCTCTTCCTCTGCTGGCACAGAGCACTTCCTGTAGGATGGAGAGCCTCTTCCTCCAGGAAGCCTGCCTTGGTTAGAGCACTCCTCTGGGCCCACACAGTATCCTGCTCTCCAGGGATAGGGAAGCCCTTGTTCAGGAGTATTGGTACACTGAACAGCCCTTTCTGGTATCTAGATACTACATTCTGGACCTCTGACATCTTTGGACAACACCCACAGAACTGTGCAAATGCAGCCTGCAGGACCCTTCTCCAGATTCTCTCTATAGGTCTGAGAAGAGCCCAGGGATCCGAGTTCAGGACACTTCCCAGGTGTGCCACACACAGAAGCATAAGTACTGTAAGGCCCTTTGGAGACATGGTCAGCCCTGCCCTTTGAGATGGTTGGACTACATGGTTTTCCTGTGAGGCAACAATGAGACCTCTGCCACCTGTGTGACAGAGCTCACTCACAAACCACATTTAAATTCCATCCTTTATTGGTTGCCTTGGGAGGATGGTTGCTCTGCAGGCACCCAAGGACTGTAGAAAAATGGCAATTGCCTAAGGTTCCCAGTGAAATGGTGGGGCTTGGACTTATGCTGTTCATCTAGGGGCTGGAAAGGTGAATTTGATGCAAATTCTGGGCTGGAGGGTGCTGCTCCACTGAGCCCAGTTCAGTACCTAACTGGCCTGTGACTCCAGCATAATGGAGGAAACTGGGGCCACTCCTGCTGTCCTGGTCACTTCTCCTTGAACTTGTCCAGTCCTCTGGACCTCCTGAGGCCACCCCAATCGTCCTTCCTGGTCCCCCATAGAGAACCATGTCAATTTCTACAAGCATTTACTCCCAGCCAGAATGTGCTGGTGACTTGCCCCAAATTCCTTGCTATAAAATTGCAGAGCCTGGGTATGAACTAGGGTTGTGTGGGGGAAAGAAGCTGAGGAAGCCCTGGGTTGGATCCCCAGATCCACATCAATTGGGCAAGCAGCACCAAGGACATGAAGGCAGGAGGATAGAACTTTAAGGCCATTCTCAGGTAGTGAACTTGGGCTACATGAGATCTTATCTCAAAACCAAAACCACCATCCTGAAAACAGAGCTTGGCAAAGCCACTCCTGCCACTGACCACATACAATAAAGGGAAGGTGTCTCAGAGTCCATTCTCCATTGCACAGGGTAGCTGCCAGGACTTGTTCCCCTGTCAGGAGGTGGAGATGTACTAGGATTCTCTGACAGTGATCTGAGCCACAGAGCAGTGGGCACAGGGGAAGGTGGTTGCCATGGTGGCATTCAACACACCTGCTGAGATAGTTCAGCTCCCTGCAGGTGATGGGAGGGCTTCCAGAGGACATGTGGATAGTCATCCCATACCACTGTGGGGTCTCTGTGAACACTGAGGTCAGCAAGGTGTCAATCTGGGAGAGGCAAGATGGCAGTTTGGCTCATATGACTCAGTGGCCAGTGCTGGTGCAGCCTTTGGAGTCTTCCCCTTGGGGAGTTTATTTTGGGCATATATAATCAGCACATTTCAGTAAAAAAGTATCCTGGTGATAATTATTCAGTAATGTGCACATCAGACCTTGAGACATGACTACACTGTAAAGGACAAGTGATATCTTCCATAAAGATGGGATGCATCGATGAACTGAGGAAACAAGCTCAAGATAAGGATCTGGGGAAGTATCAAGTGTGGTCTCAGCCTGCAGACAATGCAAAGATCACTAGGCAGTTAACCATGTGCATTGCCTGCCTTCTGGGCAAACAGGTTCTTCATCTCTCCCTTCAAGTGACAACCCTGTGTGTTTAGCACCCCTGGTTCCCCTAGTGGTTATCTGGGAGCACAAGGACTTCATGCCTCCTAATGTACCCTCTAATCGCTGTGTAAGGGCACTGGTGCCACTCTGCCTGGATGAGGTGGTTTCCAGCACTGTGGTCCTAGCAGGGTCATACTCTTCCAGCCATTTTATTTGACATAATCGTTGGCAGCAGGGGTCGGTGCCTGGAGAACATTGGCCTCCCCAGCTGGGAGGCATTGATGGTGTTTGTTGAGCCTGAGGGACATGGGGGCTGTATCTTCAAAAGGACTCCAGGGCTCAAGGGACTAAGGAGGGGGTTTGGTATGATGGAGCTTTTGCCAAAATACCTCAGAAATATTGACTGAATGCTAATAGGATGTATGTGGGGAAACTGAGGTACGTGCAGGAAAGCCAAACCGAATCTGTCCTTTAAAAGCCCACAGAATATACCTCTCGTGGCTCCAAGTTTACCACAGATGTTCAAAGGGCCCCAGACTGGCGGTAGGGGTTTCAGGACCAAGATCTGGATCTTAACACCAACTGTAAGCATCTCTGAACAAAGTTACTCCCTCTCTCAGGAACTTAATTTCTCTGTGAGACTGAGATCTTGAGGGGACTTCCAGCCCTGGCGCTTTGTGGTAGAGGAAACACTGGCTTTCCTTAGGAATCGGTACTGCAAATGTGAGAGCGAAGGCTGTGAGGTCTGCAGTTCACTGAACTTCGTCGGCCCCAAGATGCTTCCGTTGCCCCGGCAACCGCCGGACCTGCGTGGTCCCCAGAGTGCCGCTAAGGAAGCCGGGAAGAGCCCTGCCCTCCCCAAGATGGCGACACAGCCAAGGGAGGAGTCCGGGACCGCTAGAATGTCTAGACCTTTCCTTCCTTTCCCTTCTTTTCACACGAACAGCGAACTTCCACCAACACTTGTTCTTTTTCCTGGTTCAGAGAGTCTTGGAGCGGAGAGAAAAGGATTGCCTGCAGGGATTGGGGCAAATACCCAAGGGGAGAGGCGGAACTTCCGCGTCCTGCCGGAAGTGACGAGACAGTCGCGATCGCCGCCAGGTGGAACGGCAGGTGGGTTCAGGTGCCAGCCTGGCCCAGGCCTGGCTGTGGGACCGACTCTCTCGGTGAGCGACCGAAGAGGCTCCCAAGGGTCTGGAGACCGCAGGGCGGATTCTGGAATCCGAGCCCATCGCCCTGGCCTGGGGTCGTCCCCTGTACCAAGTAAGAATCACCTGCCCGCCTTCCAGCCTTAGGCTCCCTACCCCAGTTCGGAGGGGAGGACCAGAGGCCCGCTGTCCTGGATGGGGGAGGGGTGGGAGCTTGGGGCTGGCATCTGGGCACTTCAGTTCCCGAAGCCCTGTTTTTTTCTCTCCCAGACCCAGTTCCCCATTCCCCTCCCGAGCTGGGCAGTTAGCCAGTCGGCCCCAACTCTTGGAACCATGTTTGCAGACTTAGACTATGACATCGAGGAGGATAAATTGTGAGTATTTTCTTCCCCAAGACCTGGGAGCTGAGGACCCAGGTCCCTCGTGTCCTTGGGTGTCCTAGCTCCACACACTTTTACTTCTCGGCGTCCAGAAGCAGAAATGGGCCCAGTCATCACTTCTGAGGGGTGTGACAGATTAACAGATAAATGACGATTCAGGCTGTGTAAGCCCTATGGCATGATCCATCCACAACACAGCAGGTGGAGCTGTCCTGCTGGGGTGGTCTGGGAAGGTGGCAACCTAGCCAGGGTTGCAAAGGCTGCATGGGGATATCCCTGACCTTCCTCCCCAGCATAGATGACCAATAAGGTAGACTTTCAAGAATTAGAAGGTACTCCCAGAGTGTGGAGTAGATTTCATGGCCTTGTGTGTTTTTAATCCTTAGTAAGGGGTGAGCAGTCATTGGTTGTTAGCAAATCGGTCTTCAGTAACCAAGCTGACACCTGAGCCTGTTCATTACAAGACACACCTAAGCTCATTGATAGCCAATGCTGGGTGGTAACTGACAGTATAATTGGAAGATGGCTGGAGGATAGTTGAGTAACTTTATTCTAAAAGGAAGGTGGCTATAATGTCCTGCAATTGCCTGAGATGGGGACAAGGACATAGCCCGGCTGAATCTTTAAGTTTGTTTCCTTGGACTAAGATGGGGAGAGCCTTCCATGCGCATTTCATGTAAGGTCTCTGACCAGGGAGCCTCATTTCACTTTATGGATGAAGAGAACAGATGCAGAGAAAGTTCCTGACCTGAGTCCCATAGCGGATATGGCAGCTCTGGGCTTCGATCCTGTAGTCATGACTCCTGAGCATGTTCTGGTACCAATGTTCTTGCGTAGGAAAAGGCTACTCTGTGTAGCCTGCTCCTTTCAGTCATCCTTTCTCCAGAATTCACCTTCACTTGCTTCTATTTGCAGAGGCATCCCCACTGTGCCTGGGAAGGTCACCCTGCAGAAGGATGCTCAGAACCTGATTGGGATCAGCATTGGAGGAGGGGCCCAGTACTGTCCCTGTCTCTATATTGTCCAGGTATGAGGCACACTTTGGAGGTGGGGGCAGAGTCCTGGGTAGAGTGAGTCACCTCCCTTCTTGGGTGTGACAGAAAGAGGTGCGTTTCTCCACTTTGAAAAAGCTAGCTCCAGGGGCTGGAAGATGGCTCAGTCAGTACAGTGTTTGCCATGCAAGCTTGAGTAGCAGAGTTTGATCCCAAGCACCTGAGTAAAACACCGGTGTGTGGTAGTGTGCTCCTGTCACCATAGTGCTGGGGAGGTGGAGACAGGTGGATCCCTGGGCTTCACTAGCCAGTCAGTCTAGCCTAATAAGTGAGTTCCAGGCCACAAAGAAACACTGAATCCAAAAAAAAGAAAGAAAGAAAGAAAGAAAAGAAAAAACAAGTGGTTGATACCTGAAGAATGAAAGCAAAGAGTGACTGACCAACACACACTTGTGTGTGGAAACATATACACAGAGACACAAAAGTCTATCTTGTTTCTTTAAAATTTTATGATTGGTATTTGCTTTTTTATGTGTGTTTGATGTGTGTGTGTGTATGTGAGTGTGTGTGCCCTTATGTTATGGCGAACATACAGAGGTTAAAGGACAACCCTCAATCAGTCAATTTTCTACTGTGAGATCACAAGTTTGAAATCCACAAACAATCAGATTTGCATAGTAAGCACTGCACTAGCCGAGGAATCTCAGCAGGCCTTCTTGTTTTTGAGGTCTGTTCTTAGCAGGGCTGGCCACCACTCTAAGTGGGACTGTCCCTATTGTTTTTCACCTGTTTGCTTACAGCTTGTTCTGATCTAGCTATCTGGCAGACTCTTGGCCTTACATCATGTGTATTCAACTGAAGTTAGTGCTGGTCCGTGACTAGTGTGTAATAGACGTTCAGTAACAGTCTCCGATGAATCTGTTTGCCAACTGAAGTAGGAAGGCTGTGAAATAATAATGTCCTTGCTGGGCATGGCCCCATATACCTGTGGCCCCTGTACTTAGAGGTGGAGGCAGGGAGGATCAACAATTCTAAGTCATGCCCAGCTACACAATGAATGAGTTTGAGGCCAATGTAGGCTACTTGAGACCCTGTCTCAGCAAATAAAGGAAAGAAAATGGTAGCCCAAGATTCACATGAATATCCCCGAATACCAGTGAGTTTCTTATTCACTCTAGGTCTCAGTTTTCTGATCTGAAAAGTGAGGGTTTAAAGTATGTAACCCATGTTTAGTTCCCAGCACTCCTATCAGGAGGTCACAAACACCTATAACTCAAGTTCCATGGGATCTGATGCTGTCTTCTGTTGTCTCCAGTCCCTGCATACATATGGTACACAGACATTCATTCACACATACATACGAAATTTTGAAAGTTAAATAAATGCACAGGGCCAGGCACTTAGGCAGCTGCACCTAGTCACAGCTGCTATGGTTCCTGGCAGCTGCGCCTTTCCCAGCTGCTATGTTAGTGTTAGGGGAGCCACCCTGTGATCCAGCCACTGCTGTGCAGGTGGGGCAGGCCTGTCACGAGGCCTCCTTCACCAGGTGCCTGGCCAATCTGTGACATTTCTGTGGCCTTGGGAGGATCCACACTCTACCCTATTGGGATACCTAGCAGAGTAGGCCTCGGGCAGATAGGACATTGGGTCTTTGGGAGGATCATCTGCTCCTGCCTCTACCTATGAGGGTGATTTGGTCTCCTCTGCCCCAGGAGACATGAGGGAGGCATTTCCCAGGTTCCTCCTAGTCACATGCCTGCTCAGCATCTGTGCCACTCCCCTCAGCCCTGTGGGTTCAGGACCCGAAGGGCATGCTTGTTTGCATGAACTGCATTATAACATGATGGGGTTTGTTGTGTTTGCGTATAGCAAGTCAGGTGCAGGAGGCCTGTGTCTGCCAGCAGTTCGTGCCCTCTCTCACCCTGCCCTTCAGCTACTGCCGCAGATATGACTCCCCTGCTTTCCTTGGTTTTGTTATTACTTTTAATTATGTGTGTGTGCGTATGTGTGTGCACTTGAGTCCATGCAGACCAGGTGTCAAATCCCTCTGAAGCTAAGTGGGGACTGGGAACTGAACGTGGGGCTTCTGTAAATCAGGATGCACTCTTAATTGCTGAGCCACCTCTCCAGCCCTCCTGGTTTTGTTTGTTTTCTTGATTGATCACTTGTTCTTGGTTCAGGAGATAAGAGTTCAACTCTCTTCTAAAACCACATATCTCCCTCTTACCCTATCTTCCCATCACAGTCACTGTTTTGACTCAGTATTAGCACCACAGGCAACATTCGAGAAACATTTTCTAAATCCCTGTCTAGCTCTGAAGGCCAAGCGGATGGAAAAGGGACAGAAACAAGCCTCACCCTTCTGTAGCACTTAGGTTGAACTTTCTGATGAACTGGTGTCTTTGTGTCTTTCTTTCTCTATTTATTATTTTTTGTTTGTTTGTTTTGAAGCAGGGTTTCTCTGTGTAGCTTTGGAGGCTATCCTGGAACTCACTCTGTATATCATCAGGCTGGCCTCAAACTCAACTCGCCTGCCTCTGCCTCCCGAGTGCTGTGATTAAAGGCGTGTACTTACTAATGTGTGTGTGTGTGTGTGTGTGTGTGTGTGTGTGTGTGTGTTTTGCCTGCATGTGTATCTGTATACCACATCCATGCCTGGTGCCTCTGGAGGCCAGAAGAGGGCATCAGATCCCCTGGGACTATAGTTATAGACAGTAGTGAAACACCATGTGGGTGCTGGGATTCCAACCCAGCTCCTCTGGAAGAGTGGCCAGTGCCCTTAACTGCTGAGCCACCTCTTTAGTCTTGAGTTGCAGGCCTTTAATCCCAGCACTCGGGCAGGTGGATCTCTGAGTTCGAGGCCAGCCTGGTCTACAGAGCAAGTGCCAGGACAGGGCCCAAAGCAATACAGAGAAACCCTGTCTCAAAAAACAAAAACAAGCAAGCAAACAAAAAAAGCAGAGTCTCATGTAGCCTACACTGGCCTCTTATTCCCCATGTAGCTGAAGCTGGCCTTGAACTACTGATCCTCCAGCTTATACCTCAAGTGCTAGACTTAGAGGCATGTACCGCCATGCTCAGCCCATTTTCTTTTTAGCAGAGCTTCTTATTGTCATTGGTATTTCCTGCTATTTGCCCCCATGTGATCTTCTTGCTTTCTGAATAGACTTTTCACAGTCAGACTTTCCCATCCTGTTCAGGCTTCTGTCTGTCCTCAGTCTAACCCCTTGGGAACCTTTGCTCTTCATTCCCAGTCCCAGGCCCCCCTTTTGGCCTCCGTCCCCATCTGGATGGAGCACGTCCTCTGGCTTTCTGAGGAAGAGCAGATGGACAGTGTATATTCTAGAGATCTCTTTTGAATTTCTGTTAATGTTGTTCCCTTACTCCTTGAACATGAGCTCAAGTTCAGGAGTGAAGGTCAAAGGGCTGGGGAGGCTCAGTGGTAGGGTATGTGCCTAGAGTGGTCCATCCCCAACACTTAAAAATAATAAGTTTGGAAATAAGTTTCACTTAGAACTTTTGAAGAATGTTTATTTTTTTAGATTTATGTGTGAATGCTTTGCCTTTGCGTATGTGTGTGCACACCATGCATGCCTGGTGCCCATGGAGGTCAGAAGAGGGCATCAGATCCTCTGGAAATGCAGTTACAGATGACTGTAAACCACTATATAGGTGCTGAAACCTGAACTCAGGTCCCCTGCAAGTACAACAAGTGCTCGTAACCACCGAGTCATCTTTCCAGCCCTTAACACACACACACACACACACACACACACACCACCCCCTACCCCCCACCCCGTTTTTCAAGACTTTCTCTGTGTAACAGCTCTGACTGTTTTGGAACTAGCTTTGTAGACCAAGCTGGCCTTGAACTCACAGATTGTCTGCCCCTGCCTCCTAAGTGCTGAGATTAAAGGCGTGCACCACTACTGCCTGGTTTGCATCCCCTAATTTTTATTCTTTAAGTAAATAAAGATTTTAAGGCTGGGTCTAGTGGCCCACACCTTTAATCCCAGCACTAGGGAGGCAGAAGCAGTCATATTGTGACTTCAGGGATATGTAGAGAGACCCTGTCTCAAAAAATCAATAAAAAATGGTAAAACCCACTTATTTAGTAGAGGGGGCTCCTGTATCGTGGCACACGTGCCGAGGTTGGAGTGCAGCTTGTGGGAACTGGTTTTCCTTCCACCATGTAAGTCTTAGGGTTTGGACTCAGGTCACCATGCTTGGTAGTAAGCTTTTCCTACTGAGCATCTCGCTGGATTTGGTTAGAAATTTGATGATGTCATTCCATTATCAACTGTCACCAGCACTGTGTCTTTCTTACTGGGACTTTTACTTATGTGTGTCTTATTCTTATCTATCAAGCCTTTGAGGAACTGGTCATTCTTGCATCTCAGGTATCAGGGTGACAGCTGCAGGCACAACTCTGTTTGTGTCCTCAGAAAGTGACATCATCTGGACCTCTCTTTGATGGCATCCTGCCTTGTGTGGTCCTTACTGCCTCTCTTGTTCTCCAATTGCCACAAATACCCATACCACAGAACTTACCCTCTTAACCATTCTTAGGTGGCATTAAAATATACTTGCAGTGTGGTGCAGCCGTCACCACTGTCCAATTCAGAACTCTGCATCTTTTAAAACTGACTGAGCATAGCCTCGCTGACTCCCTCCTTAGCCCCTGCAGATCCCATGCCCCTCTGTTGTCTCTGTGGCTTTGACTATTCTAGGGACTCTTCTTCTTTATTTTTATTTGTTTGTTTGTTTTTCAAGACAGGGTCTCTCTGTGGCTTTGGAGCCTGTCCTGGAAATAGCTCTGTAGAGCAGGCTGGCCTCAAACTCACAGAGATCCGCCTGCTTCTGCCTTCCAAGTACTGGGACTAAAGGTGTAGGGACTCTTGTACCTTGAACTATTAGAATTCATTGTACTATAGTTTCCTTTGAACTCAAAATAACAAGTTAAGTTTCTGTGTCCCTGCTGTCTAGAACTCTTGTCAATCACTTGTCTGTGTCTGCAGGAAGTTATTTCTATATCTCTAATCTCCACTGTCAGTGCCACATTATTTGATGACTCTAGCTTTGTAGGAAAATTTGAAATCAGATGTGAGTCTCCCAGATTTTATTATTCTTTCTGAAGATTATTTTGGCCTTTCAAAGTTCCTTGATACTCTGTATGAACCTTAGGATTTAGGTTTTTAGAATTTTTCATATATAAAAATGTCCCTGGGAGCCGGGCATTGGTGGCACATGCCTTTAATCCCAGCACTCGGGAGGCAGAGGCAAGTGGATCTCTATGAGTTCGAGACCCGCCTGGTCTACAAGAGCTAGTTCTAGGACAGCCTCAAAAGCCACAGAGAAACCCTCTTGAAAAACCAAAAAAAAAAAAAAAAAAAAAAAAAAAAAAAAAAAGTCCCTGGGACTTTGTCAGGGAGCTCACTGAGTCTGCATATTGTGGAGGGCGGTATTGTGTCTTATGTCACATCTTCTCATCCACAAGTATGGACCATTGCTTTCAATGCTGTGTCCAGATACCCAAGGGGAAGTTAAGGAAGGGATTTATTTTGGCTGGTGTCACAGGTTTCTGTCCCTCAGTGTGGAGCTTGTGGCTGAGTCGTCACATCAGAGGCATCCAGAGAACAGGAGTGTGTGTGCCCTGTGCTGGCTGCCTTTCTCTTTCTCCTTTCCCTCCGTCCAGGCTCCAGCCTATGGGATGGTGCTGCCTGCGTTCACACACCTCCTTAGGTAACCCCTATGGAAACATCCTCACAGACACACATGAGGTCCTTGGGGTTCCTCAGACACCATGTGACAGCAAAGTGCACTTCTCAGTCCAGTCAAGTGAACTATCAAGATGCTGTCAGCTTGACATCGACCTTAAACCACAGCATCCACTGAAAGGTTCATCTTCATCTTACAATCCAGATGTATCCCGGTGTATTAGTTATCTTTAAAGATCTCCACAGTATTGTTTCTGTTTTTAACATGATCTGTTTTGTATGTGTTTGTGCACGTATGCACACGTGCCATAGCATACTAGTGGAAGTCAGAGGACAGCTTGTAGGAGTTGGCTCTCCTACCCCAGAATTGCCCACTGGGATAAGTTTACCACACTGGGGGCTTCTCTAGCCTGCACCTCCCAACTTTTCTAAATTTCCTCTGCAAACCAGGCTTAATGGCTGGCCATTGATCATGCTTCGTCACAGCAACAGCCTCACCTCTTTAGTGCCCGTTTTCTGAGTTGGGCTTCATCATTGCTGTAACAAAATGCCTTTCAGAAAACTTAGTGAGGAAGCACTCATTTTGGTTCCCTCATATTTCATGGCAGGAGCACAGCAGCTGTACCAGTAGCCTTTCTCCTAACCAGGTGTGTGGGGTGGTACCACCCCACTCAGTTCATTCTCTCAGACAACATCTTCACTGACATCTTCACTGACATATCCAAGGGATGCTTCACCAATCTCTATCCGCTCACGGTGGAGGTCAGGTCTAGCATCGATAGAGTCTTTCTGTCTGATAGTGCCTGCTTTCTAGCAGTGTTCATAGTTCCCATTGTCTGCCCATCACAGCTTGTGACTTGTATGATCTGAATTGATACACGTTTAGCTTGGTTACTCCATTTTTCCTTGAAACATTGTAAAAAAAAAAACATTACAAAGCATCCTTTAGACATGGCTCTTTTTTTTTTTTTTTTTTTTTTAAGAAAATTTAGAAAGTAAAGATAACATAGACATGGTGGCTCATATTCCTGTGGACTGTGAAAGCCACTGTATTTGCTGTATAGAGAAAATAATTTCACCTGTTGGGATCCACAACGTGTCTGCTTTCGCCTTCCCTGGCATAGCCTGAGGTGGAGGGAGGGCCTGCCCAGGTCCCAGGTCAGTCCCATTGTCCACTTTCCACACACCCACAGGTATTTGACAACACACCTGCAGCCTTGGATGGCACCGTGGCAGCTGGTGATGAGATCACCGGGGTCAATGGCAGGTCAATCAAAGGGAAAACCAAAGTAGAGGTGGCAAAGATGATCCAGGAGGTGAAGGTAAGACCGCTGGGAAAGCAGCTAGAAGCTTACTCCAGAGTGTGAAATGGAGGCTGTCAGGTCCCTGCTGAAGCACCCTGGCTGCCAGGGGCCTAGCAGGCTTAAGGGTTACTGCCTACTTCTTGTATAGCAGTATGAGGGACACATTCTAGTGTCCTGGGCCCCCTGGACCCTCAATTAATGCTAAGTATTCTTGGGACTTGTCCTGGGCCCCCCTAAACTCCCAGAAGTGCTAAACACTCCTGAGGTGTGATGTCCCTGGTTGGAGCTGCAGAGGCAGCTACATGCCAACAGTGACCTCCATGGGTCAGTGAACTCTAGTGACCACAGCTAGGCCATGTTTGCCCTAGAGTTTTGTTGTGGGGACTGCTTCCCAAATTCCCAGGGATTTGGGCTATGGAGAACCCAGTCTAGAACCCACACCTCTTCCCTCCTGCTAGTTCCCCTCCCCAGATGTTCCACTGAGACCCTTGCTCCATGCAGTGTCCTTGTCACTCACAAAACAAGCATGGCCTTTTTCATGTTCCCCAGCAGTTCAGCCACTGGAGACCCTTGTGAAAACTGGCAAGCGAGCTAGCTGCGTGAGAGTGCAAAGCCACTGATGGGAAGGCAGTCCCAGACCAAGGGTGGGGTCCAGCTCGTGTAGACTTGGGCCCAGTGCCTGAGGCCCCAAACCCCAGCCAGGCCAGTGCCTTTCCCTTCCTGTTGCTATCCACCAAAGCTCCAGGACCAGCCCCTACTATCCCCTCCTTTAAAAAATATTTTTTATTGGATTTATTTTATTTTTATGTGCATTTTGGCTGCAAGTATGTCTGTGCACCACATTTTACTTTCTGCCCTTGGAAGTCAGAAGAGGGCATTAGATCCCCTGGCATTGGAGTTATAGATGGTTGGGAACCACCATGTGGTGCTGAGAACTGAACCATCTCTTCAGCCTCCACTCTCCCCTTCTTGCTTCCACTCAGACACACACCACCCTGGCTTCCTCTGATCCTGTCCCCGAGTCACCCTGGTACTTAGTCCTCACTAAGGAAAGGATGACCTCTGTAGCTCCTCCTAGTGCCCCTCAGGCATCAGGCAGACCAAGCAGGGGCTCAGAACTCAGCCATTTCAATCCCAAGGGAACCCTTCACACCCTGCCCCTAACCTGATTGGTTCACTTCGTCTGTGCTGTGGGTATAAGTTTTCAATCCAAGTTTGATGTGAATAGATTCAGTTCCAGTCTCAAAGGCCTTAGGATTGCAAGGGCTAGAGTGACCATGGTGGCCTCCTGTGGTCAGCAGCCCTCCCCTGGGCAGTCACTAGAATATGGATCTAATGAATCCCCAAGTCACTCGGCATCTCCTGCTGGACTGGAGTCCCTGAGAAGTCCTGCTCCTTTCCTTATGGTTGGTGTTCTAGTGCCAGGCAGGTAGAAAATAGTGTCTGGGAGGGCCTGGAGTCTGGGAGCCACTATCCTAATTGTGTCTGTGCTGCTCTTTCAGGGGGAGGTGACCATCCATTACAACAAGCTGCAGGCGGACCCTAAGCAGGGCATGTCCCTGGACATTGGTAAGCCAGGCCAGAGCAGCCATGTGCCATGGGCTCTGGCTTTTTCTGTCCAAGCTAATCCAAAAGGCTAGGAGGAGCCAGGTGCTCCCCTTGTAGCTCTTGACAGGTCTCTGGCCCTACATTCTCACTGCCCTGTGTCTTACACCTCCCAGACTTTGACTTGTGTGCCATGCCTGTATGTTTTGGTTTGTTTTGTTTTATTGGTTTTTCGAGACAAGGTTTCTCTGTCTAACAGCCTTGGCTGTCCTGGCACTCGCTCTGGAGACCAGGCTGGCCTCCAACTCACAGAGATCCGCCTGCCTCTGCCTCCCGAGTGCTGGGACTAAAGGCGTGTGCCACCACCACCCAGTTTGTCATATCTGTTTTTAATCCCCCTCCTCCATGGCCTCTCCTGCAGTGTACTTCCAGGAAGACTCGGGTGCAAACTGGACCTCTGGTGTAGTATTTGGCAAGTTCCTCTGACTAGAAGGGCAGGACCTTAATTCTGTAGCAGCCGTGAGGCAACAATAGTTAGCTACCACTTCCTCTGGGTCAGCCACATGACACAGTGAGAGGCACAAGAGCCACACTCAGATAAACACATGCTCACCTACAGCCCCACAGCCCTTCAGTACAGTGGCTTAGGGCAAATGAGCTCACCAGAGGCTGTCCTGGAACTTGCTCTGTGGACTAGGCTGGCCTTGAACAGAGAGATTCCCCTCCTTTGCCTACCAAATGCTGGGATTAAAGATGTGCACCACCACACCTGGTCTGACATTCTGCTCTTAAGCCCTTTGATTCCAGCCCAGGACCCCTTCCAAGACCTTAGCTGGTTATATGCAGTGACCAGCCAGTGGCTCTTAATGGTGCCTGCTACAATGATGTAATCCACTTGATAACCCACCTCCAGAGCCCTTGCCTTGGTACAAATTGTCTCTTATGCTGGCTGGAAGAGAAAGGACAAGGCCCTCTCTGTCTGGCCTGTCAGCTATTTCTTAGCATGGACAAGCTCTGGGCTCTCAGTGACACCAGTGGCAGACAGCAGGTCTCAGTCCTTGTGCCAAGCACTTCATGTTTATCTGTCTGGCTCCTCCAAGTTGGGACTGAGTGGGACAGGTAGCTCAGGGCACACTGCTGAGAGCCACTGTTTGCTGACCAAACCCTGGGCCGTTCTTTTCCACCCACTGGCACAACCTGCAGCTGTGATGGGGCTCAGGCCTAGACAGCCTGGTCAGCAGCACTCATTGGCCCTTCTCTTTTGCGCAGTGTTGAAGAAAGTCAAACACCGGCTGGTGGAGAACATGAGTTCAGGTACAGCTGATGCCCTGGGCCTGAGCCGTGCCATCCTGTGCAATGGTGAGTTGTCTTTCCACCAGCTCCATGGCTGACTGCCCATCAAGCTAATGGGTCTGAGAGCCCTTCCCTGCTTCAGTGTGGGCAGCCAAGTCACATCTCTGTCCCTGGGGGTCCTCTTCTGCTCTCCAAGAGCAGAAACTGTCAACTGTGGGCTTTTAGGTCACTGCTGGGGGGGCGGTGGAGGGAGAGGTACACAGACTTGGGAGGACAGGTGCTCCCTTCCAGCTTGGATGCCTGGCCAGGGTGAGTCCCACCCCACTGCCTGCATGCTCCCTGCATAGCTGCCCTTGTCCTGCTCCTGTGCTGTTCACCTCAGTCCTGCCCTTGACCAGGAGGTGGCGCCGCTGCCCGTCTCCACTTGTTTGCCTGTGCTCAGAGAAGCCATGTGCAGGCACTTTACACACACAGACACATGCACTGGATGTCTCCCCAGGAGGCCGATGGAACTGTGGTCCTGCCATTGCCAGCCTATGCTTATAAATAGCAGTGCTATGCATGTACTCGGGGAAGATAAAAATACCCATATAAACTGTGGGCTCAGCTGGGCACATGGTCTTTATTGGCTGGGAGAGTGGGGGTGGGGCCTGAGCATGTTCCAAATGGGGTACAAAGTGGTGGCTGCTATTTTCAGCCCCGTGGTGCCTATAAATCCTTGTTACTGTAGTCACCATGCATTGAGATGAAATTAGAACTGGTTGTTGTTTCCCCCGAACCATGCAATTTCCCTATCTGGAAATAGGATTTCTAAAATTGAAGCTGTCATGATGTCCCATGACCCAGCTAAAAACAACTATGCCTGCGGGCCCCATGCTCATGCTTCAGAGAGCCGGGACCTAGGCTGTGGGCTACCACAGCCTCCTGAAGACCTCTAAGGTGTCTACCTTCCCCCCATTCTCCCACTCAGGGCCCTTCACACAGCCAGCTTTCCTGTCCAGAGAAAAGCTTCTGCCTGTGCTGTGTCCCTCTTCTGCTCAAAAGCCCCTGACTGAGCAATCTCCACACCAAGAAAGCCAGGAGAGCCAGGCTCTGCTCACACAGGCATGGCTCAATGACTCCAGGCGAGTTGCCTACCATTCTGCCCTCAGCTTCCTCTGTAGAATAGGCCAAGTGGTCCCTGCCCATGAGGTACAGGCTAGATAAGGGCCAGGGGGTCATCAGGGGGCTTTCAGTGTTCTGGCTCCCAGCAGGGTGACTCAGTGTGGCTGCAGGTGTTCTCAGGCCTGGTCAGGGCCTAGAGGGCTTCACCCTCTCATGAGAGGTATGTGTATTTCATCCCCGCAAGTGGGGACATACCCAGAGTTGGGAGCCCAAGGAGGCCATGCTCCCTGCACTCCCAAGCCTGTGTCTAACCTTTCCATCCCTCCAGTCAGCTGCCTCCCATGTCCAGACTGTCCTGAGTTGAGGTGGCTGTTGTTCCTTTACCCCCTCCACCATCCTGTTCTGGTCACTGGCTACTGGCTGACTCCTCTGATGAACTTGGAGCCCCAAGGGCAGGACCTGAAATTTGGTTTTACCACAATCACTCCCCAGACCTAATGTGGTATTGTGTGACAAAACTTTTTTTTTTTTTTCTATAAAGGAAAACATTTAATTGGGGGCTGACTTGCAGTTTCAGAGGTTTAGTCCATTGTCGTCATGGTGGGACATGGCAGAGTACAGGAGGACATGGTGCTGGAGAAGGAGCTGAGAGTGCTACATCTTTTTTTGTTTTGTTTTGTTTTTGTTGTTTTGTTTTCGAGAAAGGGTTTCTCTGTATAACTTTGGAGTCTGTCCTGGAACTTTGTAGAGCAGGCTGGCCTCGAACTCACAGAGATCCACCTGCCCATGTCCCCTGATTGCTGGGATTAAAGGTGTGCACCACCACTGCCTGGCTTTTTAATTTTTTTTTCTTATTTATAAGTGCCCGTCCTTGGCTTGGCTTGTTTCTAGCCAGCTTTTCTTTTCTTTCTTTCTTTTTTTTTTTAAAGATTTTTTTTTTTTTTTTAAAATTAGAAACAAGCTTGCTTCACATGTCCCTCCCCTCTCCCCCTACCTCCCCTTCCCCCCCAATTTTTTTTTTTTAATTTAACTTCTTTATTGATTCTTTTGGAGTTTTACATCATGCACTCCAAATCCTGGTTCTCCCCATGTCCTCCCCTCATCCCTACTGTGCCCCCACAAAAGAAAACAAAAGTAAGCAAGCAAGCAAGCAAATAAAAGCAAAGACAAAACAAAACAACAAAAACCCCTCAAAACCAAACCAAAACAACAACAAAGAAAAATCTCTTTGCTTCTCCTTCTTTCCTGCCTTTCCAATACCTCTTCATTTGTATTGGAGGCTTCGGTGTGTCATCCAGTATACCCCTTTATCCTGTCAGCTTTACTGGCTTTGCAATGAGTCACTGGTCTGGTTCAAGGCCTCTGGTTTCTGGTACACCATCCTCACTGGATCTTCCCCAGAACTCCTCTAGGATATCCTCTGGTCATCCTGAGTCATGGAGATCTGGGGGTATCATTCCACAGGACTAGTTCCTTCATGAGCTCCAGTAGATCCTAGATGGGGTAGATGCTAGGGTAGGCCAACCCAAGGCCCGACTGTGGGCCTGGGTGGTGGTAGCCAAGATGCTGACAAAACTTTTATTGAGACGCCACAACACATGTCTGCTCACCCAGATTGGGAGCCCACGGCAGACCAAAGTACAGATATCACCAAGTCCAAGCTGGTGAATCAGTGAGCTTTATTGGGATCATTGACAGGAACAGAAATGACTCAGAGACAGCTACATTACCAGGACTCATCCCAGCATGGGTGACAGCTCACAAAGCTGGGACCCTGGAGCACACTGCACATCCTGCAGGCAACTCAGCAGGTTGGAGAGTGTCCTTCCCAGGTGCCTCAGTTAGTCCAGACCTCTTCCAGGTAGCTCGTCTTGTTTCTGCTTCTCTCAGGCAGCTTGTCTGGTCTCCCTTCCGAAGTCTAGCTCAGTCTGGGAGGATCACTTTGGCAGCCAGGGGTCGAGTGACTCTGCCCAGTTTCAGGGAGAACTATGTACTTAGTCTATACTTGTTTGGCCATTGGCTGTGATCAGCAAATTCTAGTGAGAGACCTTCCTCCAAGCCCTCCTAAATCCCTTCTCCCTGACCCCAGCCCATCCTGTGCACTTGTCAAAGCCAGCCCTGGCCATGATCAAAAGGCTCTCCTCCTCTCTAACTGCTGTGTAGGGAGCCTTTGCTGCTGGCCCAGGATTTGCCTTCTGGGCCTATGGGAAGCTGCCCTTGGGTGCGGCCTAGGGAAAACCCACCCTCATACACTTAAGACTTTGGAAAGAGCTACACTGAAATGGCTGTCAGCTCCTAGATTGCCCCAGCCAGTGGTAGGTGGAAGGAGGCTCCTGACACGGGTCCTGAGCTAGCTCTGCCTGGCTCTAATTCTCTAGGTTTGCAGGGAGTTGAAGAGTAAACCCTGAGGCCCAGGCTTCCTGGTTTTTGGCAGAGGCTAGTCCTCAGGGACTACCCTTCACTCTCTAGCCTAGCCTCTGCTGGGCTGTTGTCCTCCCTGGCTTGCCAGGCTCACAGCCTCTCCTGTTCTTGACCTCCACAGATGGGCTGGTAAAGCGACTGGAGGAGCTGGAACGCACTGCTGAGCTGTACAAAGGTAGGTAGGCTACCTACTGCTGGTCTACCCTAGGGACCCCTGTCCTAGAGAATGGCACTGGGGCAAGGAAGCTACCTAGAAATTTTTGGAAAGAGTAAATGTATCAGACGCCCCTCCAAATTCCTACAGTCCCAGAAAGACTGTCATACATAAACCCAGCTGCTTGTTACATGGAATCCACATAGAGGGCCAACTCAGCCTTCATCCCCAGGCCTTTGGGAAGACCCTGGGACCTAATGACCAGTGAGGACCTCAGGTCCTCACTTAAAGGCTGGGGGCCAATGTGATTCCTAATTTCCGTCTCTGTCTTCTGTCACTTGGGTCTCTTCCCACAGGGATGACGGAACATACCAAGAATCTCCTACGGGCCTTTTATGAGCTGTCGCAGACGCACCGGGGTAATGGCATCCCCAGACATGCCATGTGACCCTGCAAACCCCTGTCCCTCAGGGCTCAGTAACACCGAACAGTGAAGTATGGCTAGATTCCTCTCTGGGGCTCTTTTCATCCCTATGCCAAGGCCAACTCCCAGCTCTGACCTCCAGCCTGACACCGGGTGGCAGTGACCATGGAGCATCTGGTCCAGCTGGCCTTTGGAGGATGCCATGTATCTCTCGATGCTACTTACAGTGCAGGCAGCCTCTCTTCATTTTGGTCTCTTCAGTACCATGGTGGACAGTAAAGACACCAGCCCATTTATTGGCCAGGAAGGGAAACCCAGACAGGAAGTGGATCCTGAGCTTACGGTGGCAGAGCCTGGCATTCCAACCCAGGGGTCTAGAGTCAGCCTGGTCCTCTGCTCTTGCCTAGCATGACCATCTTAGATTTTCACTTAGCCTTTTGTCTGGCCACTTGAGGGAATAAAAGCTAGCCCCTTGGGAGCCTAACCCCAGAATAAGGATGCAGCAGCTACTTGGGAGTATGGTCTAGGCCTCTTGAAGTTGTACCTCCTTCGAATGTAGACCCTTTGAGCAGACCTTGGCTTTCTGCTCATCAGGCCCCTGTCCTGCTGCCCAGCAAGCCCCTGGCTTCTCCATTAGGGGGTCAAGAAAGGGCTTTAAGGCAAACTTGTCATGCAGCCTTTGGGGACGTGTTCTCTGTGATTGGGGTACGGGAGCCGCAGCCAGCAGCAAGTGAGGCCTTCGTGAAGTTTGCTGATGCACACCGCAGTATTGAGAAGTTTGGCATTCGGCTACTGAAAACCATCAAACCGGTGGGTCCCTCAGAGTGCAGTATGTCCCACTGGCCAGAACAGGAGGGACAGCTTAGCACAGGAGGGGTTCTGGGCTGGAGTCAGGTGCCAGATGCAGACACCTCTTGGTCACCTCTATGGCTGGCCAGCCATCAGTTACTGTGCCTCCCTGGGTCCCTTTGACCTCAAGACTCTGCTGGGTCACAATGTGCCCTAGGCCTGACATAGTCTTCTAACCTTGACACATGCCCTTTGTCAGATTTCCAAGTCCACTGGAAGGGATGACACATCTGTGCCATTTGTCACCCAACCTTGTAGATGCTGACGGACCTGAACACGTACCTCAATAAAGCCATCCCTGATACGCGTCTCACCATCAAGAAATACCTGGATGTGAAGTTCGAGTACCTGGTGAGTGGCCTACATTGCTTGCCAGCTGGGGTGAGCCCATCCTGGAAGCCAGCCCTGAGACAAGCAGCCATGACATGGCAGGCAGGATGGGGCCAGACCTCTGCTGGGTCAGGAGTGTGGGGTCAAAGGCCTGACTAATCAGAAGCAGCCTAGACCCTGAATTCCCACACCAGGGAGCTTGGAGCTACCTAGAGCCAGGAGAGCTCTCATTCTATATTGTGTCTACTCCTTGGAACTTGTCACCTTTAGCAACAGCTCAGACTAGGTCTGGGATACTTCAAAGGACATTTGGAGTCCTAAATGATAATCCTATTGTCAAAGAAGCCTAGAAGATGATGTGTTAAGTATTTAGGCTTCTTGCTGTGGCACTTCTCAGTGCTTTGACTAGGCCTGTGCACATGTCTTCAAGGAGCTCCCAAGCTCTTTTGTTCCTCCAGCACCACCGACACGATGCCTTTTGGATCTTTCCTATTCTGGAGATAGAACCCCGGGCCTTAAGCATGCTAGGCAAGTGCTGTACCACTGAGCCACACCCTGCAGTCCCCGGAGCATCTCCTTAGACTTGAATTTGGTTGCTTTGGGATTTCTCAAGCCTTCAGGCCATTGCACCTCACAGAGGAGTGCCTCGTCCCTCTGCTGCCCCTTTCCTGGGCCTCTGTTCATGCCTGCTTCTAGGCTTTCCCAGGTGGTCCAGACCTAGGTGGCCTATGTGGCCACTGCTCTCTTGGTGTGTCCAGGTTCCCAGGTGACCTGAGGGCATAGGGAGGCAGGGCAAGAGGGAGCTGGAATTATGAGGATGGGCATCCAGGAAATTTGGCCACTGACTTCTGGCCTCACCCATCCCATCCCATACAGTCCTACTGTCTAAAGGTGAAGGAGATGGACGACGAGGAATACAGCTGCATTGTGAGTACCAAAGGGGCCCAGGCTGGTATCAGGAAGGCTTGGGGTGCCCACACCTCACCTTCAGAAAGCCCTGGGTCTACCAGAGGTATTGGGTGTGTCAGGCATGCTGGGGTCTTAGTTTGGGGCTGTCAGCCCATTTAACCAGCTCCTCTGGATTGGAGTACTAGCTCATTTGCCATGAAGTGACTGACTCCCCGGGCCTGCTCTAGACCAGGTACCCCAAGTTTGTGAGGCTCCTATGGGAAAAAGCTGACTGATTTTACTTCTGAGCTATGCTTTGATTTAAAAAAAATAGTTGGTGTTTTTGTTTTTATATATAAGTGTTTTGCCTGTGTGTGTGTGTGTGTGTGTGTGTGTGTGTGTGGTTCCATTTTCATGGCTGATGCCTGTGGAGGTCAGAAGAGGGTGTTGGAACTAAAATTACAAACAGTTGTGAGCAATCATGTGGTTGCTGGTAACTGAACCCAGGCCTCTGCAAGAACGAGTACTCTAACCGCTGAGCCACTCTCCAGCCCCTGATTGTTTTTTGTTGTTGTTTTTGTTTCTAATTTGTGGTTTGTTTGCAGTCAGGGTCCATCTTTTGGCCAATATTCATTTATTTCATGTGAGCCGTGTTCGTGTTTCTGTGGTTGATTTTTTCTCCCTCCAAAGTTACTGTTTTGAGCTTCTGTCTGTCACTGGCATCTGAAAGCCCATTGTGGTACAGCTGTGAAGTGGGCCAGCCCTGCAGTTTTCCAGCCCCATCTGTCCTGGGAGGCCCAGGTCAGCCCAAGAGAGCTGACAGGCTTGCCTGCCCCAGGCCCTAGGAGAGCCCTTATACCGAGTGAGCACAGGCAACTATGAATACCGCCTGATCCTGCGCTGCCGCCAGGAGGCTCGAGCCCGCTTCTCCCAGATGCGCAAGGATGTGCTGGAGAAGATGGAGCTGCTCGACCAGAAGCATGGTGAGGGGCTCTAGAGGCCTGTGCGCTACCTTAGTTGGTTCTTTCTTGCCACTTAGCCCCCAGGGTGGGTGCTGTTCTCTCCCTAGATCAGAGATGAGGCCTAGAGAGGGTAGTCTCCCAGAGGCCTCAGGACCAAGCCCTGGTAGGAGTCCACCCAGAGCCTGGCTGGGTTGGGGCCAAGGCTTGGGTCAGTGATCTACTCACTCAGGCAGCCTTCTCTGTTTCCTGAGCTAGGAGTTTAGAGGACTAGGTGGCCAACTAGGCAGTGCCAGGAAGCCTTTGGCTGTGCCCCTTTGCACCCTTCCTAAGGCCTGGGGCCCGGAAGTGTCCCCCAGTGGGAAGGAAGGCCAGCTCCAGGCCTTCCCTGTGAGGAGGCCGCCATAGCCACTGGGCCTGTCTGCTCACCTCCTGCCCAGTCCAGGACATCGTCTTCCAGCTGCAGCGCTTCGTCCCCCCAGTGGGAAGGAAGGCCAGCTCCAGGTCTTCCCTGTGAGGAGGCCGCCATAGCCACTGGGCCTGTCTCTCACCTCCTGCCCAGTCCAGGACATCGTCTTCCAGCTGCAGCGCTTCGTGTCTACCATGTCCAAGTACTACAATGACTGTTACGCGGTGCTTCGGGATGCCGACGTCTTTCCCATTGAGGTGGACCTGGCACACACCACTCTAGCCTATGGCCCTAACCAGGGTGGCTTCACTGATGGAGAGGATGAGGACGAGGATGAGGAGGATGGGGCAGCTAGGGAAGTGTCCAAGGATGCACGTGGGGCCACTGGGCCCATGGACAAGGGCGGAAGCTGGTGTGACTCCTGAGTGCCCCCTCAAGTGGACCTGGGGGGCAGGGCAGCGGGAGGA